CAAATGAAGTTCAAAACAATAAAATTACAAACAAACAAAAATTAAGTTTTGATATATTTACGGTAGGAAATGTACAAAATATCTTCATGGAACATGATCTTTACTTAATATGCTAATGATTTTAGGCATAAAAGAAAAATCTATAATTTTGACCCATTCAATGTATTGTTGGCTATTGCTACAAATATCCCCCAGCGACTTAACACTGCTTTTGTGCTGCAGGCTCACAAATATTGTTTCTACACTGTCGTCTCTCCGTACCTCTAATCTTCTGAATGGTTAATGAAATTACAAAGAAGCCCTCCATTTACTCTAAATGTGTGTTGTTCAAATAAATCAGTGGTTTTGTTTTACACCCCATCTCTCTCTACCTCTGCCATGTCTATTTATCCATTCATTTTAGGCCTGAGAAACATCCTACCTATTACTACCGCAAAAGTCCCAATTGTGAAGTTTTACCACACCAAAACTGGACTAGAGGGAGATATAAGCTTGTACAATACACTGGTGAGAGAATAAACCCGACACAACACTATTAAATGGACGTTAAGGCCAATAAGTATCGCAGTTGTTTATTGCGCTGATATTTCATAAGAAGAGAGCCCTCATGTGGCTTCTGTAAAAATGATAACATTGTTCCTTTCTTATCACAAATGTTTAAACTTCAATATTTCGGCATAAGACAAGTACTCTGCTTGTTTGGATTCCTTCATGCCCCTTCGTTCATAAAAATTTATTTATTTATTTATTTTTTATTACAAATTTTAATTTGGTCGGACATCTTGTCATTAAATAGCCACTGCAGCATCTAAAGCTTGATTTTTGAAATGTAAATAAATTGCTTTTGTGATTTAGATTGACGTGTGCTTGCATGCTGAAATAAATTCCTTTATTTATGCTAGTTATTGCCCACTTCTGCTCTCTAAAGATAACGTTTTTCACACGCACCACATTTGTTAATTTCATGCTTATTAATTCAGTAAATTTACGAGAGTCATTTTATATTACCGTATCATATTATGTCTTTCAGATATATTTTGTTTGTGTTTTTGTTGCTCCAGATATCAAACTCGAATGTTAGGTATTGCAAGAAGTCAGAAGTGACTGTCTGTGTTCATCAATCAAGTCAAATCAAGTATTTATATGTAGATCACATTAAAGTCAACTTAAGATCGTTACTTCTAACTAGCATTAAAAGCAGGACTGACAAAAATGATTGATATCTCCCAAAAATCAATTTTATAGAGGCTTCAGTTTTGGGATCGGTGATCGAGGCTGTCATTTGTAATGCTTAGTGAAAAGATGTCATCAAACAAATATTTTAAATATCACATATTTAATACATTGTCTTGTTTCAAAGTTAATTTGGAGAATTATTGTTAAAATGTATTTATGATCACAAATTTCGGTGTTAGGTGCAATTATTTGTGCTTACAGAAACGTGCGCAGTTAATTAGAATTAATCGAAGTTAAAGGGGTCATATGATGCTGCTAAAAAGAACATTATTTGGTGTATTTGGTGTAATGAAATGTGTTTATGCGGTTTAAAGGTTAAAAAAACACATTATTTTCCACATACTGTACATTATTGTTTCTCCTCTATGCCCCGCCTTTCTGAAACGCGTCGATTTTTACAAAGCTCATCGATCTGAAAAGCGAGGTGTGCTCTGATTGGCCGGCTATCCAGTGCGTTGTGATTGGCCGAATACCTCAAGCGTGTGACGGAAATGTTACGCCCCTCACCATACTGTGATGCCCTGTCCCGGCCGGAGCGACGAGACAAAAACATGAAAACCCATTATAAACGAGGCATTTGTTGCATCCAGTGGAGACATAATTACTGATTATAAAATGTTATACTGTCATTTTATGCGTTGCGTATCGCGCCGCATAAACATAAAACTATGTCTGCACTTGTGATCAGAGAAATGACAAACAACAAGTGCTACTCTACACTGCCCAAAACTCACGTTTGAATCGTCAGTGGCAAATCCTTTAAATATGAAAACGTACTTACAGGCTGTGAGTCAGCATTATTTGTCAGCATCATAGACTGTATGGGGTCAGCATGTGCGGTGAAGGGGAAACAAGGGAACTGAATTCACCGGAACAGCCGGCATTGTAGGCTACTCTCACAGGATCAGGAAACAGTCCTCCGTAAAATGCGCTGCACACATCTAGGGATGGAACGATTACCGGTTTTACGATAAATCATGATAAAATGCCCTGACGGTTAGTATTATCGTTTAAAATGTAATTATCATCAAAACCGTGTTTGATTATTGCGATTTTGAAAACTCGCGGTAAATCCTGTCCAGCCAGCATCAGTCTGACGCAGAAGCAGCATGCAGTGTTGTTGTTGTTGTTTTTTGCACGAGACGAAATGGCGGAAGGCAGTGACAGCGCTCGGGAGATTTTTCAGCCATCTAAGAGGACCAAATCGGAGGTCTGGTCGTATTTTGGCTTTTACAAGAGTCCTGAAGGCAATTTAATCAAGGATGGTCACCCTGTCTGCCGATCTTGCAAGAAGAAAGTCGCTGCAAAAGGTGTCAAATTTGCTCAGTCATCTTCGTGACCACCACCCACTGTTATATAGCAAGTGCAAGGAAACTTTTACCTCAATACCAAAACTAACTGGACAAAAAATATTAATATAATTTCACTTGTAATTAACGCAAAGCTGTGATTCTTTTTAATTATTATTATTATTAGGGCTTCATGTTAATGTTAATTTAATGTTTATGCTAAAAAAAAAAGTGCATACAGCTGCTAATTGTGTTTGTTGTTTGTTGATTTTCAAATATAAAACTTATTGAAATGTTTTCAGTGTGTGTATCAGTTCTTTTTGAACATTTTAATCTCATTTTAACAAAACCGTGATAATATCGATAACCGTAGGCTGTGAGTCAGCATTATTTGTCAGCATCATAGACTGTATGGGGTCAGCATGTGCGGTGAAGGGGAAACAAGGGAACTGAATTCACCGGAACAGCCGGCATTGTAGGCTACTCTCACAGGATCAGGAAACAGTCCTCCGTAAAATGCGCTGCACACATCTAGGGATGGAACGATTACCGGTTTTACGATAAATCATGATAAAATGCCCTGACGGTTAGTATTATCGTTTAAAATGTAATTATCATCAAAACCGTGTTTGATTATTGCGATTTTGAAAACTCGCGGTAAATCCTGTCCAGCCAGCATCAGTCTGACGCAGAAGCAGCATGCAGTGTTGTTGTTGTTGTTTTTTGCACGAGACGAAATGGCGGAAGGCAGTGACAGCGCTCGGGAGATTTTTCAGCCATCTAAGAGGACCAAATCGGAGGTCTGGTCGTATTTTGGCTTTTACAAGAGTCCTGAAGGCAATTTAATCAAGGATGGTCACCCTGTCTGCCGATCTTGCAAGAAGAAAGTCGCTGCAAAAGGTGTCAAATTTGCTCAGTCATCTTCGTGACCACCACCCACTGTTATATAGCAAGTGCAAGGAAACTTTTACCTCAATACCAAAACTAACTGGACAAAAAATATTAATATAATTTCACTTGTAATTAACGCAAAGCTGTGATTCTTTTTAATTATTATTATTATTAGGGCTTCATGTTAATGTTAATTTAATGTTTATGCTAAAAAAAAAAGTGCATACAGCTGCTAATTGTGTTTGTTGTTTGTTGATTTTCAAATATAAAACTTATTGAAATGTTTTCAGTGTGTGTATCAGTTCTTTTTGAACATTTTAATCTCATTTTAACAAAACCGTGATAATATCGATAACCGTGATAACTTTGGTCACTATAATCGTGATGTGAAATTTTCATACCGTTACATCCCTGCACACATCTGAATATTTGGGTTGAAGTGTTCTGGAACAGTGTTGTAAATACAACTTAACCACTGATTTCTAGTCGTGTCCTCTTTTGGAAGACCAAACAAAGTAGTTTCGCTTTCACTACGAAACACACGGCGTCTTCACGACATGGCGGCGGCGGCAACAATACTACAGCGAGAATAAAAGTTACTTTATACAGTTTTTTTTATACAGTTACATTTACTAAATATTTTTCATGTAATATATTTTTAAATGAAAACCAGTGATATTTATTACATATTACAGTGGGTGCTTAGTATAATAACAAGGTACTAACCTTGAACCTCACTTTAAACCCATATTAAGTCCAAGGAGTTAACTTATATTACTCACTAGCTTCTGATGTAAGTCTGCTGTAAGTGCACATACTGTCAAATAAAGAGCAACTGAGAGTTTTGCATTTGATATTCCTCAGGCTTTGCACAACACGCAGTTACTGGCATCATACGCTGCGATTGACGCTCGGGTGAAGATCCTCTGCTACGTCATGAAAGTGTTCGCTAAAGTAAGTTCGACACGTTCATTAAATATCGTAGAGATGGTACACATCAGTGGCTGCGCTTGAAGCTAGTTTGAGAAAGAAAGTTGCTTTTGGAGGAAAGCTTGTGCATCGGGTTGAATGAGATGCATCACAGATTTCTGATGTGGAGAGCGATGATTGTGTTTTCAGGTCTGTGATATTGGCGACGCGTCCCGTGGGAGTCTGTCTTCATATGCCTACACCCTAATGGTGCTGTACTTCCTTCAACAAAGAAGCCCCCCTGTTATCCCAGTTCTCCAAGAGGTGTCTTTCTGGACCATTATAACTTTCTTAATGAATAAATTATTTAAATGCAAGGTTACAACTCTTACAACACTTAATGCAGTACTTTAACCATTAATGTACAAGCACATGTGAACACCAAAAATGCATTCCTACGTTTATTCCTTTAATGTAATTTAGAAGTGCATCAATCCATAAAAAGATATTTCTATAATCCTGATATATTTCAGCATAAATAATAAAAGGTAAAAATGTGAATAAAGGTTCAAATGGAACATTTATGATTATTTATTGTAAGTCATGTTGTCTAGATTCTTCTATATTGTATTAAGTACATCCTAAAATACTGTATTTTGTGTATGTTTTTGTAGATGTATGTTGGGGAGAAGGAGCCTGTAGTTCTTGTCGATGGCTGGGATGTTCATTTCTTTAGTGATCTGAAGAACTTGGTGAGTGAGATTATTTTAATAGAATAGCTGATTGGAATTTTAAAGTGTTATAGTGTGATTTTTAGATATGTTTTAACCCTCTGGTGCTCTTTGGTCACTTTTGAAGGAAAAATTTTCTGTTTTGAATTTTTAAAAATCACATCTTCATCGGAATGGTACGAAACTTGGTGACTTTTATGGCATTTGGAATGTGAACACACAAAAAATTCGTAAAAAAAAATAGACACACTCGTGATCTTTGGTCAAAAATGACCGACCATAGGAAATTAATGGGAAAACTGGTCAAAAACTGACACTTCAAATCAACATTAAAAAAATAAATAATCTAAACCTTTAGAAAAAGTTGTCTTTGAGAATGTCTAAATATATATCCAAACCCACAACTGAATAAAAATAAGTATTTATGTCTAAAAACAATTAGAGAATGTATAGGCCTTTTATGTAGAGCTACTGTATATAGGAATCTAGTGGCTAAACCATGGAATTGCATTTGTTTTTCTTATTTTACTCCCACCAGATGGCACTAATCTGGCTTCTAAAATGGGATTTTAAAGGCATTGACTCTATTTTAACATGAAATACTGCATTCATTGAAAAGTAATATAAAAATATATTTTAAAAAATGTTGTATTATTTTCAATGGGCAGAAATTCATCATAATTATTGCATAAATATTAATTAGTGCCATGAAATGATCTCAAAATAAAAAAGAAAAAATATTATTGAACAAAAATATATTACATTGATTTTACTGAGGCGAAAAAAAGTTACATTTCAGGTGTCCGGTCACTTTTGACCGTAAAGATCACAAGTGTGACTCCCAAATGAGGAGCACCAGAGGGTTAAAAATAATGTGTTTGTTTGCTTAAAGTCATCCTGTGTGTGGAAGTGAATCTGAACTGGAGTTTGGCTTCTATATCAGTTTTATTATCCCGAATTATGCTTTTGTACAAAAACAACAAACATACTTTAATAGACTAGTGTAATAACTTTGCTTGCGCAATCTTCTAATCCAACTCTTTTACACCTTTTACAACCCTACAGAAGTCTTCAAAAGTCCTCAAAGTCTTTGATCTTTAGTGTGCATTTCTAGTCAAGTCTCTTTTGCTCACCAAAGCTGACTTTTTTGATCAAAAATACAAAAAAACAGCGATAATGTGAAATATTATTACAATTTAGAACAGCTGTTTTCTAGTGTATTCATTCCTCCAGTCTTCAGTGTCACATGATCCTTCCGTCTAAGATGCAAACATTTCTGATTATTACAAAATATTACTGTTTTACTGTATAAAAAATACTTTTTATAAAAAAGGCAACCTTAGTGAGAATTAGAGGCTTCTTTCAAAAGCGTTAGAAAAATCATAATTATTGCAATTTTGATGAGTAGAGTAAGTGCACTACTGTAAAAGTGATTTTATTAACAGTGGGATGAGTCAAAGTTTTACTTTGAACCCACAATATTTCTGGCCAGAGGAATGTAGTGCGTTTCATCCATGATCAAATTTAGTTCAAAAGGGGTCAGACAGTCATAAAGCATCCAGTGGAAACTGTTTATTTTTTTTCCCAAATGTGTTTTATGTGTGCCTTGAACTTGTGGTTTAATAGCCAATAAGTCTGGGATTGTTGTTGATTTTTCAGCATAAATACTGGCCGGGGTACAAGAAGAATAAGGAGTCGGTGGGGCAGCTGTGGTTTGGGCTGCTGCAGTTTTACACCGAGACGTTTGACTTCAAGGAGACTGTCGTCTGCATCCGCAGAAAAGAGCCTCTCACCACCTTCAAGAAGCAGTGGACCTCCAAACACCTCGCCATCGAGGGTAAGAGCAAACTACTGAGTGCTGAATATCAGACGAAGAACCTATGGATATGCAGCAATAACCTGTTACACTCTCAGAAAAAAAGGTACAAAATCTGTCAGTGAGTCGGTACCTTTTCAAAAGGTACACTTAAAGTACCTAAATGGCCCATATTAGTACCTTTTGAAAAGGTACCGCCCCAGTGACAGATTTTGTACCTTTTTTTCTGAGAGTGAACATGTACACTTTCAGAAATATAGGTACAAAAGCTGTCACTGGGGTGGTACCTTTTCAAAAGGTACACTTTTGTACCTATTAGGTTCTAATATGTACACTTTAAGGTACTTAAATGGACCCTTTAGGTACAAATAAACCTGGAGCACAAAACCAGCCATAAGGGTCTATTTCTCGAAATTGAGATGTATGCATCATCTGAAAGCTGAATAAGCAAGCTTTCCATTGATGTATGGTTTGTTAGGATAGGACAATATTTGGCCGAGATACAACTATTTGAAAATCTGGAATCTGAGGGTGCAAAAAAATCAAAATATTGAGAAAATCATCTTTAAAGTTGTTCAAATGAAGTTCTTAGCAATGCATATTACTAATCAAAAATGAAGCTTTGATATATTTACGGTAGGAGATTTACTAAATATCTTCATGGAACATGATCTTTACTTAATATCCTAATGATTTTTGGCATAAAAGAAAAATCTAATATTTTATTTTTTATTGCATTTTACTTCATTATTTATTATACACATTTATATAAATTATGGCTTGCACATTTAATCATGTTACTAGTCAGTAGCCAGAATTTCCACATTTGTAAAATATCATGCTTCATTTTGAGAGATAAAATGCAAGAGAGAAAACCACAAAAAATAACACATTTTGTACATATTTTATGACCTACTTAATTAAAGTAGCAGTAATGTAGTGCATTGCTTTTAAAACTGACATTCCTCAGCGCTGTGTGTGTTGCAAGATCGTAGTTGTTCATTTGTGTGTTTCTTTCAGATCCCTTTGATTTGAGTCATAATCTTGGAGCTGGTCTCTCACGGAGAAGTATGGCATGCTTTTGTTTTGCTTTATTAAAGTTTATATTCAGATGTATAAACCTTCAGCCACCGTATTCAGATGAAGCACCTGTGTTTAACTGCTGTTATCCATCAATTAAACCATTTCAGATTAATACCTGCATGAGCAGGTTTTTTTGTGTTCTAAGTGCATTTATAAATATATAGTTGTTGACTGTTGTGACTCTTCCCAGGCTTTTTGAAAACGACCCTTGTCTTGATATCTTGTCGTCTAACGCAGTGCCATGCATGCATGTTTTCTTCCGTGTGGCTGTTTGCAGTGGCGAGCTTCATCATGAAGGCCTTCATCAACGCCCGCAGAGTTTTCGGCGCCCCCGTCAGAGACTTCCCACCAGAGTATCCCAACAAAATGGTTTGTGTCCTTTATCTTGACCATGTAAATTCTGGGTCACACTTTAGTTTGGGGACCAAACAACACTTTTACCTCAACAGACTCATAATTTGCTGCTTATTAATTGTTAGTAAGGTAGTTGTTAAGTTTAGGTAAGGGATCTAAAATATGCTCATGCAGAATAAGACATGAATATGTGCTTTATAAGTGCTAATAAACAACCAATATGATAGTAATTTGCATGCTAATAAGCAATTGGTCCCTAAACTAAAGTGTTACCAAATTCTGTAAAACGGCTCACAAGTCATTGTACTTAATGTCTCTCTTGTGTTTGCAGGAGTATTTTTTTGACCCAGAGGTGCTGACGGAGGGCAAGCTTGCACCCAATGACCGCTGCTGCCGGATTTGTGGGAAGATTGGGCATTTTATGAAAGACTGTCCAATGCGAAAGAGGTATTATTGTAGAATATATTTTTTACCTTTAATCTTTATAGAAGGTGAAGTTCTTGTTCAACACTGTATTGTATGTTTGGAACATGCTTTTCTGCATTTCCTGCTGTAATGATCCATAAAGAGCATGCACTCCTGTTTAAAAGTTTGGGATCAGTAAGATTTTTATTATAGAAATTAATACTTTTATTCAGCAAGGACGCTTTCAGTTGATCAAAAGTGAGAGCAAAGACATTTAAATTGTTAAAAAATATTTTGATTCAAATAAATGCTGGTCTTTTGAACTCTCTATTCATCAAGGAATCATGGAAGAAAATATATATGTGACCCTGGACCACAAAACCAGTCTTAAGTGTCAATTTTGTTTATGCAAATTTATGCATCATCTGAAAGCTGAATAAATAAGCTTTCCATTGATGTATGGTTTGTTAGGATCGGACAATATTTGGCCGAGATACGACTATTTGAAAATCTGGAATCTGAGGGTGCAAAAGAAAATAAGAAAATCATCTTTAAAGTTGTCCAAATGAAGTTCTTAGCAATGCATATTACTAATCAATAATTAAGTTTTGATATATTTACAGTAGGACATTTACAAAATATCTTCATGGAACATGATCCTAATGATTTTTGGCATAAAAGAAAACTCGATAATTTTGAGCCATACAATGTATTGCTGGCTATTGCTACAAATATCCCCCAGCGCCTTAACACTGCTTTTGTGCTGCAGGGTCACAAATCACAGTTTCCACAAAACTTTGAAGCAGCACAACTGTTTTCAGCATTGATGATAATCAGAAATGTTTCTCGAGCAGCAAATCAGCATATTATACTGATTTCTGAAGATCATGTGACACTGAAGACTGGAGGAATGATGCTGAAAATACAGCTGCGCGTCACAGGAATACATTACATTCTAACATATATTCACATAGAAATCGGTTATTATAAATGGTAACAATACTTCACAATATTACTGTTTTTATTGTGTTTTTGATCAAATGCATTTACCCTCAGTGAGCAGAAGAGACTTCTTTCACAAATGACCCCAAATTTTTTAATGTAGTGCACATTTGCACGTTAAAATGAAAGACTTTGGATGCTTATAGTCTGATGTCGTTTGTGGTTGATTCATTTGTTTCAATGGTTTGCTAAGACAAAGACGTGATACTGATGGACGTGGTGTGAACAGACCCGATGGCAGAGTGATGACGGATGGCGAACGGTGGCGGCAGAGGGAGGAGAAGTGCTGTTATCTGTGTGGCTCCAGCGCTCACATCAAGAAAGACTGCCTGCTGGCCAAATCGTTAGGTAGCTGCGCTCATCACATTGTTTAAAGCACGGTTTAGTTCTGCAGGAATCGCTCAGTCGTCCATGTATTTTCTCTTTGCAGAATCCTCCCCAAACACACACCAAAGAAGCCCTGCGTCAGACAGGGACAGATTAGTATGTCTCATTCACAGTTATCATTATGTGCTAATACTGTAGTTTGGGCTTGGAGTTCAACATGAAGAGCTCAGTTGGATTCTTGTGTGTTTTGTAGGACAGTCCTCAGCAGGACAGGAAAAAGAAGCGAAAAGCAAAGAGGATGATTTTGGGGCCTGAAGCAGGTGAGCGCACTACATGGTGATTTATGCTGTGCTGAATATGTTTTTGTTTAATTCTGTGAATTTAGAAGTCTGTATATGTGACCCTGGAGCACATAACCAGTCATACGGGTCAATTTTGTGAAATTGAGATTTATACATCATCTGGAAGCTTAATAAATAAGCTTTCCATTGATGTATGGTGTGTTAGGATTTGGCAGAGAGACAAATGTTTGAAAAAAAAATCAAAATATTGAGAAAATCGCCTTTAAAGTTGTCCAAATGAAGTTCTTAGTAATGCATATTACTAATGGAAAATTAAGTTTTGATATATTTACGGTAGGAAATTTACAAAATATCTTCATGGAGCATGATCTTTACTTAATATCCTAATGATTTTTTGGCATAAAAGAAAAATCTATCATTTTGACCCATACGATGTATTGTTGGCTATTGCTGCAAATATCCCCCAGCGACTTAACACTGCTTTTGTGCTCCAGGGTCACAAATATGGCCACATACACACTGCAGCTAAATTCAGTTGTCAGTCATTTACAGGATTGACAACCACATTCTACTACAACCAAATCAACTGCCGAAAAATGCAGGTAGTGGTAACCACATTTACAGAAATTACACGCAGAATCAAACTGAACAACTAGCTGTTAATGTCGTATTTTAACACGTATCAGTTTCTTCTGTATTCTCGATGGCACATATCGACTCATTTGTGTTGCCAGATCTTACTAGAAAAAGCAGCAAATAAGAACGAGCCCATAATAAACTCAAATCCAAACGCGTTATCATAGCCACATGCCAATTAATTGTGACCTGCCTACTTTATTGACCCCATAAACTAGATCGCTTTATGAGCCGAACACAAAGATGCTTAAAGGGGACTTCAGATGCTAAATTAACTTTTACATGGTGTTTGCATATAAATGTGTCTCAGAAGTGTGTGGAAACAACCACCCTACAATGATAAAAATCCATTCACTCCTTTTGTTTTTAATCCCCCAAAAACCTAAACAGTCTCGATCATCAAGCCGTTTTGATTTTCTGAACGGTATGACGTCATACTGCTCAGGCCCCGCCCACGACCGCTGATGACTGTCCCGTATTAGCATATCTCCGCCCTCAGCCAGTTGTACGCATGTATGATTTCACACAAAAAGTGCTAAAAATGCACTGAATAAGCATGTCTAGTGTTTTAACAAGAATTGGAGTATGTCAGAAAAGAAAATGAAGAATCATAAATATGTATAGAAGATTTACCCGTTTAAACTTGTTTTTATTTATTCAGTTTGGGTTAAAGAATGGTGTATTATTAAAAAAACAAACATTATAAACAGCACGTTCTATATCGAAGTATGATTGACACGACATGATCGGAGCTGTTTTTGTTGTTTACCATTAGCACGCGAATCCCCGTGTTAAACTTTCAAGACTTTAAAACTTTCAAGTTTATAACCGACCTACTTCTAAAAACAAATGTATAGTAGTTTTTGTAAAGAGATATGTTGCGTTGGAGCCGCTTCTAGTGTGAATACTCTGGCGAGTCTGCATGCTGACGCGAAACTCAAGCTTGCGGTGTGAAACAGACCCATCAGAGCCACTGAGGACGCAGTGGATTAGTTTTGTTTTTGATGGTAACGCGCCACTGAATACACAAAAAACAGAGGAGAGGGGCGGGGTGAGCAGTAGCTCCTTACCATTTAGGGAGATGCACTGAAACGGTGTGAACAGAGCTGTTCTTGACAAGGTAAAAAGGGGGTTGTTTTACATGACCATTGAGGAATTTTAGCCAAAGTGCGTTACAGACATTTCATGAACACTCTTAAAGAATCATACCAACATCCGATGTCCCCTTTAATAAGCATTGCTTATAATAAGTGGACATGGCAACCCTTCAAGAGCACACTCCGCAGAGCAACCTTCCAAACATCAAAAACAGCAGATAACAAACGCACGAGAATGTTGCTGTGGTTACCATGGTGTCGATCAATGCAGTTTCGAAAGTGAGTTCTGTTCCGTTGACACACAAAACAATAATTTAGGGGATTTGCTCCCGTATTTAAAAGCAGTTTTCAGTCCTGAAACATTACAGTGTGTACTGTCCTACACTGTAAACACAATTTCGTACAATTTACGGTAAAAAAAAACCGGCAGCTGTGGTTGACGGAATTTTACCGTAAAAAATACGGTAGCAACATTTGAGGTTTTACGGTTTTAACTTAAATTTACAGTTAAATACCGTAATTTCATTAACTGATATAATGTTAATATACCAACCTATTGAAGGACTGAAATCTGTTTTGTAGCTTTGTAATACACTGATAACCACCAAATGCAGGAGGTGATGAGAAAGTCACATGACGAACCAAAGCCCATCACAAGCAGCTTTTAAATAATAACATATATAGAAGGTGCACAGTGTCATTCACACAAACACTAAACACCATCACGGTAACACACATGACACTGAAATAATGCAATAAGCATTCATTTAACAACATTAGGTGTAACACGCAACCCTGATAAGAGAAAACTAAGAAGAAACATAGTTATTCCAACAAAAAAACATAAAATTTGAAATGTAACGCAGGGAATTCTGGGAATGTCAATATACGGTCTGTTTCACGTCCAGAAACGGTATACTACTGTAAAATTACATGTAATGTCCAATACAGTTTTTCACCGTATATAGTAGAGGAATTTACCGTTAACCATTTAACAGGTTTTTACTGTAGCATTTTTACAGTCTTTTACCGTTAAATTCACGGTCATTTTTTACAGTGTGAGTGAGTCTGTTTGATTCCCTGCATGCAGAGCGCACATACTGTACACATTTAAACAGTGCATACTGCAGAAGAGTAGTGCTACAGTATGAATGATGCTACAGTGGTGTAAGTGCACTTGATCTCTGCGTCTGAGCTGCATTAGGACTCAGTGTCGGGCATTTAGCCAAGAGGTCCTCGCTGCAGCCTGTAGCACGATGACGTAGCTGGACTATATCCACTACGTAGTGGATATTTTACGCGCGTGCGCTGTAGTAGGCCTCGAATAAATTCATATTTTTATTTACATTTGATCATTTTGCAGACGCTTTTATCCACAGCGACTTAGTCTAACGACTTGGTCTAAGTGAAGTCTAACGCAGTACATGTAGCAAGGTTATTAACTAAAACTAAAACCATAAAAAAAAAAAACATTTCCCTTGAAATAAATAAATGTTTAGCTGAAATAAAATACAAAAAACCATAAGCTTATTTATTTCTAATTTTCGTTTAATTTAACTTGAAGTACTAAAATAACTAAAACTGCAGTTTAAAAAAATAGATAACTTTATAAAGACATTTAAAAAAAATAAATGACAAAAACACTAAAACTTGAACATTAAAAATATATATTTATATATATATTATGTTTTTAAAATGCAAGGATCGACTTCGTACCGAAGTCCAGGTAGTTTTAACACCACTAGTCTTCTGAAATAACACTAAAGACTGGTCTTTTTTATTATTGATCTATTTATTTGTTTGTTTTCCTCCTTCAGTTGATAAAGAAACCAAACAAAACTGTACAGGCTTTTGCTCAGACTTGTGCTCAGCCACTCCTGATATTCAATCCAACGCACTGGCGGATCGAGAGCTGTTTATTTGTCCAAAACCCCATCTGTGGTCATGGAGCAGCTGCTGTCTTTGCTCCGTATATAACTGATAATGTCATGTTTCTCTATCGTATTGTAGGTAGTCTTGCCAGCAGACATGCATCATTAAATGCATCTATGGAGAAGTGGAGCCCTTTCAAGTAAATCATCTAAAGAGAGGCGTTTCTGGATCTACAGCAGCCCGAGCTCAGTATTATCATAAACCCGTTAGAACACCTTGATTGATGTGCCTTGTATCGGTGTCTAATTTTTAGTTGAGTTTCTTTTTAACTGTGGAATGAACGTGATGTTTCTCATTCGATCTGTTTTTATTTTTAAATCAAAAGTCCAGTGTGAGTACCTTTTGTAATTTAGATTGTAGCCTCAATCTGTGCTTTAAATTTGCTTGAATAGTTTTAGTGAGAAATTTGCACAATCGTGCGTGTACCAAGAAGCATTTTATTTTGTATAAATTGTACATAAAGAAATGCTAGTTGCGGTCCGTGTATTTACAATTATGCTGATATTATTGCGCGTTCGTTGTCGAGCTGTTCATTGTGCTTTTTCAGTTTGTCAGGACTTAGTTGTTATGCTTTATTTTATAGTTTATATTAGTACTTCATTTTTGCTGAATGAATTGTGTATGTTTGGGGGAAAACGGCTCCATCGCCTACATTGCATTTGCTTCAGTGCCAATAAACAAAAAGAATTCCCTACATGTTAGTAATTTAACTCTGGTCCTCTTTTTTTTTTTTTTTTTTTTTTTTTTTTTTTTTTTAAAAAA